TGATTTATTGCAAATGTATTATCCCTGCTTAGGAAATATTGTGTAACGTGGAAAAAAGAGAAAAGTGCAATTTTATAAATTAGAAAAATGTTACGAAAATTATAATATAATGTAAAATTAAAAACATCACACGTATAAAAAAATGCACGTGATATAATTATCTCAAATTTATTAAAATATATTTATGATATAATTATTTAAAATTTACTAAAATATATTTACACAGAGTATTTTAATTTTGTTGACAATCGCTGTTGACGCTCATTGTCTCTTACTTTTCTTCTATCACAATTTCCATCATTTCTATAACGAGTTCACTATTCGATATATTTCTTGTGAATTAAGATCCTTTAAAAAGAGAAATTCGATTTAGAACTCTTTGAAAGAGTATAATTCCACTACTGATCGTGTCCTTTATTGGATACTGTACATAGTATTTCACATAGCATTATATTCGCGTATTTTCCAACTCGGATTTCCGACTCGAAACCAGCGAAGTAAATTGCAAATTTCCATTGTGCCGCGGAACACGATGATCAAACAGCTAGGTAGTGGCGCACATTCGACGGCAGTGTGTTGGCTTGAAACGTTTTCTAGAAGTACTCTCTCGTGCATATTCATGGTGGTTGGCTGAGCACTCGATCGATTACCAATAGACACCACGAGGACCAATATGGAAGCTAATTCCGGACGCGAAAATGTTGGCCACGAAATGGCCTGCACAAAGGCAGGGAAATAAAATACACAAGGTAATGAAAATAGAAGGCGTACAGAACAAATCGAACGTAAGTCGATAGTGTTAGTAGTTGTTTGTAATGCATCAATCATAAAAGCACCGCGATCAAGTTTCTAATTTACTTTAGACGTACTTTATTTTAGACGCGATATTACATTATCAAACTTTATAAATTATCAAGTTAGTTATAACAGTATAGTTATAACTTAATTATAACAATACGGAGAACGAGAAAGAAAAGGAAAATGGAGCGAAAAATAAATGAACCAAAAAGATAAATAAATTACCAAATAGATATCAGATACTTTGGAGAAATATAATATAAATCGACAAATTGAACTTGTATGAAAGATAAGAGAGAAAAATCACACTCTTTTCCAAAGTATAAATATTATTTTAAACAAAATAATTTCTTTCTCCCGTTTCCTAAGAAAAATGGCGTCGCATATGAAAATACATGCCACTTCAGCTCGTGCTTTAATAATTTCATTTTACCAGTTGTCGCGGTATTTTCCGCGTACAACAGTCGCAGATTTATTTCCAAAAATCAAAATAAATAGAATTTAAGCGGACGCAACCCGTGATACATAATGATTCTTTCATTTTAACGGACGGATGCATTCGCAACGTTCCATTTCTCTTTTAATGCGATGCGACGTATACTGTACGTGTAACGCGTGATGATTTTTGCACGAGTTCGACGCGACACAATGCACTCAGGCGCAACGTTTTCCCGTTACATAAAGCGGATACGGGAGCAGATATTTCCCGTTGACCGGCTCATGTATATGCATCCCGACTAGATGCTCGTTTGGCTGTCAATATCAATGTCAACCGGCTGTTCAAATTGTAACGGCTCAACATCCAGGAGAAAACGATGACGTTCAAACGACGATTATTTTTGTCTACAATGATATCCATCTAGACTTCGATAATTTCGAATTAGAAAAAAATAGACAAAATCATACGTGTCTCAATAAAGTTTTTTTTTTACATTTTTAAATGTAATTTAACGATACGTTAAAATTGTCGGTCGACAGATAATCTTTCGAAAATACGCATCTGCACGAAGTAGCAGCTTATCTGAGAGAAAATAAAATACGCAGATGGAGAGAACATAGCAATTTTTGCGAGCTTTGCTCCTTTTTTTATCTTTTGCTTCCACTTGGTGTCGAGATAAGGATGCGCCAATAAATATGTACGCGAACTTCCTAGGGCGAGGGAGAATAAGTCGCGGAACCGGCTTTTCCATCTGCGACCATCTCCCGCGTACTTTCCATCGAATTAATGGGCACTAGCGCGGGCGCATTTATCCGATATTTTACTCGTGCCCGAGCACGATCGGAAAAAGTTTAGCGACGGCGTTTTTCCAATTGACGGACGACGGCAAGAAGAAGCGGCCATCGGCGACCATCGCTAGCTTCCCAGTCGTTCGACAGAGCGATTCCGGTAGATTTTCGCAATCTTTTCTACAGCGCGAAAGATTCTCGCCGTCTCAACGGAAGATCAAATCGAAACGATCGGTGGCGACGCTAAAGAAGAACAATCTGCCTCATGATTGCAACCGTCCGCCGTGCAACTTGTCCTTTATAGCTGCAATTTTCGCGCTTTGGATACCCCCATGATTTTCAGAAAAGTGTTATCGAGAAATACGGGAATAGTGCCAACAGTAATTTCCGCTGGTTTCTTTTCATTTGGTTTTAATAAATTTTTTCAAATAAAAGAAAAAAACATTGTAGTATAAATAACTTTTGTATAAAAGCGAAAAAAGAGACAATGAGAAGCAATATATTTTGCAAGGAATATCGATATGTTAATGGTAAAATTACTGATTTAATGGCGACTAGTAACTTTCAAAAAATTTCAACGTAAGAATTGATTAATAATAAGATATTTAATGTTGAAAATTTTCTCTCTCTTTTTCTCAAGAAGATGTGAAAAAATGATACTGAACTAATTTTCCGGTAATTTTCCATAAAAAGTCATTTAGATAATAAATTTGATATACATTAATTCAAAATAACGGGCGCGAATGAACGAGAGTTAGAAACATGGGAGAAATTTCCGCACCGGCTGACGATACACGAGCGCTTAAATGGTGTTTCGTTGCCCATACACGCGCAGAAACAGTGTTGAATGGATGCCCCATAAGCCTCACATACAATCTCGAATCCCCCAGGCTCACCGCAGCAACGCGGCAAATGGACCGAGATATCGCTCGTCTCTAAACTGTGATCAGGAAAGAGACAGAGAGAGAGAGAGAGAGAGAGAGAGAGAGAGAGAGAGAGAGAGAGAGAGAGAGAGAGAATCGAGCATATTTCCGAAACATGTATTGTATCGAAATTTCGATAAATTAGAAATGAGATAATATCGTATTAAATCACGAAACACATAAATTTATCTCTTTCGTTGATCATTTTTAAGCATGGAACCCATTTTTTTTAACAGGAGTCATCTCTGCATATGGAATTTATGTTAGTTATAAAATGTGATATCCAAGAATATATTATTGCTTTTCCGTTTCATACAATTAATTTTGATCGTATAAAGTACGGACTTCAACAGATCATTAATAGCGCGGAATTTTTATATACACAATCGATATTAAAATAAATATTAAAATAAATTTTATATAATAACGATTGTAAAATATAACGACACATCCTTGTTTACATATTTGATGATACATATGTCAAATGCGTAGTAATTATGTTTTATTATAACGAGAAATATCGAGAAGAGAAAAAGGAAAAAGATCGATGGAAAGGGAAATTCTTGTTTCTATCTGTATTTGTATGATATGCAAGATTTTATAAGATATATCATATATGTATATGACGCTTTGTTACGTACAACAAATTTCCTCGTGGTTCAAATACAGTTTGCTCATCATTTTCGAATTAAAAGCACGAAATAATACCTAAATTGCCAATCAAAACATGTAGGTAAGATAACGAAAAATCACATGATATATTATTAATGTTTATTCAACTTTAAATTTTCAAGAAACAGAATATTTCGCACTTCTTAAATATCTTATAGCGATGACGAATTAAATATCACACGGTATTTGACGCTTGTATAGAGAACGCGCTTTTGTAAATACACAAAGTCACTTTGCCATTCGCGCGGTACGACTCGGGCAAAACAGTAGCGAGATACTGTGTATGATTTCAGTATCATTTCAGACGTGGTCATGAGAAGTACAAGATATTTGTCAAGCGTAATAATTTATTATAATTATTATAATTCGCGATTGTACAATTGATTTCCGCTATTAACGTAGCAAATATAACAATATACAATATTACAACAATATTATATTTATCAAAAAAAATATATCGCACAATACATCCGTTCAAAATAAATGTCCAATATACAGAGATTATTTTATCATTTTAGCTAAAACTTATAAATAATGTTATCTATTTCGAGGCCTAAAAGCGACATTTGCCAGAAAATATTCTCAACCTTGTTTTGTTTTTTGCATAAACATATTTTTATCGATAATTTTTAATTATAATAATTATAATGATTGTGCGTTTGGCACCTTTCGATACTTCTTGTGATGTATTTCAGTGTTAGTGTGGACTTATTGTCAGCAAGAATGAAGTGTCGTCGCGCAGTTTTCGAACATAAAATCGTAATTATGTATAAAGAATAATATCCGTTATGTGCCATCAATATTGAAAATGCGAGCAAAATATTATCGTATTAATTTAATGTATTTTTTATCGCGAATAAATATCGTGTGTATGTGAACAACATAAGAAAAAGAAGGCACCAAGCGACGGACATAGCAACTGTAAGATCAACAAATTATTTAATTTATTTATGTAGTTGTGAAAATATTTACTCATATCTCTCTGAAAAGGAATAATTTATTTTATCTTACGGTAATATATATAATTTAATTACGTAAACAAATGTATTAATCTTTTTTTTATTTCATAATATTTTAAAAATATGTTTAAAATGATTTTTATATAAATACACACATGTACATGTGTCTATATAAAATACTTAACATTGTATTAAAATTTTTCCGCATCGCATATTATTCTGTTCTCTCACATTTTATAAAAATTTACAATAAAAGTTTTTCTTTTCAAGATTTTCAAGCAAAATCTTCATATTAAATATTAAATATTAAATATTTATTTAAAGGACGAAACAAAAATTTAATAGAGTGTAATAATTATTTTGCAATATATTAATTATTCATGACACTGCTTCATAATTTAAATATATTTGTATTTTACAGATCCATATCAGATTACTACAACTACTGCCCTGCGCATCGTATCGGTGAGTCTTTACAATTTTATATTTTCATCTTGAGGTAAACAGATTTTTGCGGACATTACATCACTTTTATATACATATATAAGAGAAAAAGATTTATGGTTCAGAGAGGAAAGCGCGCTTGTAAAATCACGTTTCAATGAAGAATTATCGTATTTTAATCTCGAAGTAAACAAATTTTTACGAACATTATATCACAATTTATATAAAAGATACTTGTGTGTAAGAGAACGAATAGTGATCCCCTCCTCCCCAAACGCGTCTGTAAAATCACATTTCTCAGTGAGAAATTATCGTTTCTCGCAAACCGCAGCCTCGTGCGCAAGACATTGTATCGGCACAATTTGCCATTCAACTTAGAATTCGTGTTTGCCAAATAGTTCGTACTTCCGGATACCCGGGGCTGTAGCCTCTTGTCTCCCCCTTTCTACCCCTGCAACCGACATCGGCGCTTTATCGACACCCGTTCTCGACAATTCGTGAGTTTAACAGGGAAGAAATCGTGAAGGAAACGAGCGGGAAAAGAAGTCAACAATCCGTCCATATAATTGGATAACTCGAGGAGCGTTCGTATAGAATTGAATTTCCGTCCGATATGCTGATTGTCGTGACTTGCTAGATACCGTCTTGGGTGTCGTCTAACATAAGATGGGTATCGGGGATTCCAGAATTTTTGCATTTTGCATGTAGATCCAAAAGTTTCTTAGATTCCCGCGGTGATTCCGCGTTCTCAGGTTCTGGAATCTCCGAGTTCGCAATCTAGGATCTTAGGTTGACCACATTTTTTCGTTTCTTTTTTTTTTCTTTGCATGAGAGAAACGATAAGAAAGGGAACTGGAGCATTTGCGTCGGATTTTAAAAAAGAACTAATTATAAGAAGAAATTAATCTAAAGTTATTCTGGTTCCTCCTCTTTGCTATCAAAATAATGTGATTGCTGTATTGAATTTTAATTATTATATATTCATCATGTAGCGTATAGAAATATCGTGAGCTTTTTTATATACAAACATTATTAAAATAAATTATAATACGATATAAAACAATGACTGATATATTTAATAGTTATATCTAACAGTTATATTTAATTTCAAATTTTACATATAAATAAAGGTTGAATAAAGTAAAAAATATTTAATATTTTAGAATCGCATATTACAAAGTAAAATGAATATAAAATTGAATATAATTGAAATGAGAGAAGCAGATTTTAAAAATTCTCATATGTTATTTTGTGGAGAGATAACGTGTAGAGAATATTATATATATATATATATATATATATATATATATATATATAATAGTTGCATGCAAACTTTGATAAAATGAAAATGTGGATATCATATTGTATATAAACTATATATTTTTTTATTACGTATCATATCTAAATAATCGGTAAATCTCTGTATGTGCCCTTCATTAATCCGTATGTGGCAAGATACTTATTGTTGTGACGAAGGAAATTTTTTCGAATTGTAGAGATCGTCTGAATAGTACGATTACTTCACGATTTTTAAATTTATAAAACTATAAATATTTGTTCTTTAAATATTGATGAATTATCAAAGTCCACCGTCTTCGTCGAACTAATTTTAACATTAAGAAAACGAATTAATTATTTATTTAATTATTTATTACGTACGGATAAACTGTCAAAAATTCCGATCCACCTTTTTCTTTTCCTTTAATTTTAACATCTTAAACTTTGATATGATATAATTCACGACTCATTGACCATTCAAATCCTCTATCTCTACGGTACTATAACCGTACATAAAGAAAAGATTTAGTGAAAGAGAATGGGGTCAATCCATAATTTGTAAAGTACATTCTCTTCCCCCCCCCCCTCTCTCTCTCTCTCTCTCGCAACGGTATTCATATTTAAATTTATCCTTATATATCATGAAATTATCTCATTTTTGCACTGAACTTTTCACAGTTCTTGGTCACAGAGTGTATTGTAATAATATTCATCAACCTAATATAATGATATTTGGACATGAGTCCGACATTCTACTGTCGACATTATATAGGATTCCCTTTTTTCTTCCTCTAGATAATTCTTTTCCTTTTCCTCTGTTTAATAAAATAGAAAACGAATTATCAGAATAATCAGAATAATCAGAATTTCTCATCTTTTTATTAATAAAGTATATTACATTTAAATAGAGCAAGAGACAGAGAAAAAAGCAGAAAGAGAGAGAAAGAGGAAGAGAGAAAAGAAAGAGAGAAGATCGGTTTCTTTATTAATTATTAGATATTTATTCGCGGTATACTAGAATTTTAAAGATATCTTGAATAGTTGATATCAAATCCATCTTTCATTCTTGAATCTGAAGAGAATTTTAGATTTTTCAAGTCACTTATAAAGATCCGTACAGTTTATCGTTCTTCCTTAGTAATGTTGATTAAATAAATAATTTTATACGAGTTACTTCAATTTTTTAACGATACTCATGGATAAAAAATGCGGAAAGTCGATGAAGGAAAAGCAACAATATATAGACACGAAGTACTCTCGTAAAAATAATGTCATCTAAAAGCATCGAACAAGCTTGAATTTCAGGCATGTAATGCAAGTCGGTCCGGTATTTCGTAAAGAAACGGCCTTTGCAACTGTAAATGAGTCGAATCGCGAGAAGAAGAAGATTTCGAACAGAGAGGAAAAATGGTAAAGAAAGTTTTAAGTAGTTTCTAAAGTTTCGCAATCGATACTGTCGCCAGGAGCGGCCGAATAAATTCACCTCGAGTCGTTTTCGTAAAACTCGAGTCCATGTGCGATTTATCGGGATCGTTCGCAACGACAGCATCGAATTAGTTCGACTTCCGGGAAGCTTCGGGAATGTCCAGTAACTCCAACGAGATGATAATCAAGAGAGAAAATTTAAATATGATTGTCTGTGAACGGCGATCCGTGATAGCATTCATTTCCGATTCTTCCGTCAAATAAATAAAATTCAGAATCGCACCCAACAGAAGCACCGACTGCGTCAGATTAATCTCGATTTTTCGATATTGGAATCCATATCTGTCAGTAGTCTACAGAAAATACGTGATTTTCGAAACGTCTTGCATGGCACGAGGGTGTGAGATATAAATTTAAAAAAAAATCCCCGACGAATATCCTCGTGCGATCGCGTGCGACCGAACGATATCCCGCGATTTTCTTCACGAAGCGGCCGCAGCGTCGAATTTTCCAATTTCGCCCTTTATTCGAGCTTCGGGTGCGGGAGCCTCGTTTATTCTGGTATTTATTCGTCAATATTGCGGGCCGCGTGTATCGCACTGCAGGCGTATTGTACCCGAGAGATTAAAACTGCGATGTATTACCCTTCCCCGATCGAAAGCGGGTTTGGCGTTAGAGACTTACAATCCCGTGAACGCATTTCGCGTTTCGAAAGCTCACGCTACCTCCCATCCGCGCGGCCATTTGTGATTTATGGACCGTGTAACGCGAATCGCAAATTTATCCTAGAAACCGTACAACGCGCAGTTGGTTTGTCTTTGGCCGTATAAATATATCTCCAACTTTTTTACAGCGAAAGTTACTCAGCGAGTTTCTCCTTTCAACGTACACTCCGCTCACGGGCGTCAATTTTACACTCTTTTTCATTTTCGGGATTTTTTTCTAACGAAAAATAGTTACTCGATGGTGTTTCATCATGGCGTGGAAAATGTTTTCCCTCCAAATCGATCCATTTTCCAAATTGGATTTTAGTCCGGTCAACTTGTACATAAAATATCAAGAACTGCTGTTCGAACTAAATATATATCTTTTATGATTTTCTTATTTCATGTCGATTTTTTTCTATCGAAAAAGAAATATTGAAAAAAATTGTCTAATAAATCTATTTTCATATGCCCTAAGTTTCGAAAGGAGGAATGGGAATTTTAATTTTATACAAACGAAAAATAATTACCTAGCGAATTTTTCATCATGCGGAAAGGTTTTTTGACGATTGAAATTCTCGTTGAGTGCGCTCGCGCATCAATTATTAGAATGGTCTATAGACATTTTAAACTAAACAGTTTTCCAAACTTGAATTTTTTACAACGCATAAAAGTTACCTCTAATGAGTTCTCCTTCACACACAGAAAGTTCGGTTCAGCTTGAATTTTAAACGTACCGCGATCACATTAAATATTCGAACAGTCAATTTTGGGCGAAAAACTCTCTCGCCAGATTTGAGTTTTTCATCATCGGTGAAAGTCATCTCGAGTTTCGCGGAGATGCGCGAAAGTTTCTGTACGGTCTGATATACGTATTTTAGCAGCGCCGCATCTGCGCTGAATGTTGGAATAGATGGTCTTGTACCGGGAAAATCTTCTTTCAGGTCGGGATCCTTCCAGTCGGAAAACCTTTGTCATTCGCGAAAGTTTCATATGGTTGAATTACAATCTGTTTTTATCCCAGCCATATTTTTCGTCTGTTTTTGTATAATGTTACGGTTACAAAAGGCCTCTTCTCTCCTTCCAGTTTTATTAATATAAAATGTCCATGTGATATTGTCGCGCAAAATTATGATACACAAGATAAACAAAAATTTACGAAGTTTTAATTTATTATTTAAAATTTCCTAAAATAAACGCATGCATATCTCCATCATTTTAATATGTTAATTAATGGCAAACTAAAAATGTTAAATAATTGACACAATACTTTACATTTATTTTTGTTATCGTGACTTTAAGTATAATGTAAAAATAACATATAAATTAATTAAAAGTTACATGAAAAAATAGTTACAATAACTCATAAGAATTATTGTAAGACATTAACATATAATAGTAATTATTTTATAATAACTTAACTTGTTTGTAATAGAAACATTTAATTTTTAGTAAATTTGATTTTTTATATATCAAAGTTCAAGATTATTTGAAGATGTACTTTAACCTTTCTTAGAATGTTAAACTGACTTGAGACATGTTGATTGTTTAGAATGATGTTAAAAATATTCAAAATAATATTCCATTTTTAAGAGGCATATACAAAATGTTAAT